TATTACAATATATTCTGTTTACGTAATCTTTGAGGTATAACATATAATTTTTTTGTACAAAACATATTTACTTCGCGCTGAACTTTAGTAAATACAAGTTATAAAATCTAACTTGTCCGTCATAAAAATAAATATATATATATTATATGTTTTATAACTTTGAAAGATAACATAATATTATTAATAGTCATTGTGCTACTAAATCATATTGATGCCCGAAGTTATAATGGAATTATTATACCGTTAATGCGCTGATGCGTTGGAACTGMTGTAATATATGAGTCACTTTAGTCTTTAGATAATATAATATTCAAATACTTCTTTGTAAGATATGAAGTGTCCGCTGTCCACTTTAAGCAGCGTTAGTATTTTTTCGAAACCTTTTTTTTATCGGTTTTTATGCCTTTTAATATATTTCTTTAGATAGTCGTATTTACATATAAATAATATATAAGAATAAAAAAATATATTTTATATATTTTGATTTGTATACAATTTATAAATCATATTCCAACGACATATATTTAATGTTTCCGTTTTACGATGCAGGGTGTCACGAAAAGTCGTCCGACGGCCACGACACTGACAGTGGATGCGGTGATTACTGTGACAGTGGAGAAAAGAGTTGTTGTTCGTACCGGAACAACAGTCGATCACCATTGTTGGAGACGACGGCCATCGATTCTGCAGACATGGTATTGGTGGACGACTGGCCACCGGTGGACTTCACGGATGCTGCCTCGCAACCGACCTCGATGGCGCCACTGCCGGCCGGAAGCGACACTTCTATCCGGTGTGTGGTGCAACCGCCACCCGACATGTTGGCCACGCACGTGTGCGTTGAAGTCGGCCTGGTCAAACAACACGCAACCACCGCGGACGGTTCCCCGACAATTGTGGTGTGCAGTGTGGACGTGGAACCGTGCCGGCAGCCCCATATGTTATTCATGTCCGGGGTTACCGACAAATCGTCGTCGACGGCACCGGAACCTGGGGCCGCAGACGGTTCCGGCGGCGATAGTAACGACGATGACGTTCTGGACCGAATATCGCAAGACTTGGACTATCTGTTGAACCGGAAAAACGTCATCGACCCGAACGTGATCGAGTCGGATGACGACGGCGACGCTGAACGCAACCAGAACAAGAAAACCAAAAACCTAACCTAACTATGAGACGCAAGACTCGTCGGCTTTGAAGGAACTCTAAACTATATCCGATCATGCCCCAGCGCCCACCGAATCACACTTACCGGACGGTGATCACGTTTTTGGTTACCGTTTGCCTCGAATTTATAATCATTTTCGTATTATTAGTATTATTATTTAAATGTTWAAAATAACGATGAATATTTTGTTTTTGTTCATATCATTATCAATGTAAAAAATATTTGTTAACGGCATTGTATAATATAATCGTTGTATTATTATTAATACGTTCGTTTTTCGAATATGTAATTACGATTATTATTATTTTGATCATCATAATATCGTCGTTCTCAAATTTTTTGTGTACAACTATAAAATACTATTATTATTTATACTCTTTTTTTTCTTTGTAAGAATCATCGTATGCCACGCGCGATGATTTTCGTAACAAAATGTTATATAATAGGTACATAATTTTTGTGTTATTTGTATTTCATAATATACCATTTACATGCTGCAAATAAATACACATGAATAATATAATGTTACCTATTGCAATGTATCATGTATGTATTGCTATTATAATTATAATTATTTGTGGTATTATGRTTCCACGGTTCGTAGACTATATGCAGCTCGAAAGTTCGTTAATTTTCGTCATTTTCATACGAAAATGTAATTTTTCGGGCTCCCGTCTGGATCATAATTCATAATCACTTCAATTTACTACCATTTCATTTTACTGCAACAGAAACCAAAAATACAGAGCCAATCGAATAAACAAYTATTGTATTGTAGCCTGTAGAARCTTTGTCGTTGGTAAGCTCAATTTTCAATARTTTTTTCAAGAAAACAATACATTTTTAAATCAACTGTATTTGTTATGCGTGTTAAGTTGAGCAAAAGAATAATAATGACTTGTTTGTGTGCAAGCAATTTTATTTAATAAACAAACAAAAAATATTTATTAATTGTGTACTATTTTTTAGGAAACAAAGAAACAACGTAGTTTTATTTGATAAACAGATTGAACACCTCAGAAAATAGAGTGTTCAGTTGATATTATTCTGTGGAAAATTTTTAAAAAGTATAACAGTGTGATCATT